TAATTTTTTTTTTTTTAATCAAGGCGTAGGGAAGTGAATTGATAAACATCGCCCGAGGATACCTTAAGGCTGAAACCAAGATAGCGGAATCAAGTGATCGCCTAATTTTTAAAGTTATATACATACATACATATCTATCTATCTATCTATCTATCTATCTATCTATCTATCTATCTATCTATCTATCTAATAGAATGTAATATATGAATCAACTATAAATATGGACACGCTATCTTAACCGTGTTTTGAAATTGTAAATTTATATAAATGCATCCATACAACAATATATTTCTTGTTAAAAGTTACTATATTTCAACCTTGAAAATGGCTAAATGTATAGCCGAAAGCGCTCAGATTAAAAAAACATCTGTTTTTTATATGATTTATAATCCGAAAAGAAAAAAAATATATTAGATGACATATGAAATGTTATACAAAACTAATTCAAAGCCCCTTGTCTGTCGTATCAAAGAAATGTGCATGAAAGAAGAAAAAAAATGTTTTATTTTTTGATAATTTGTGTAGAAATTGGTCAAAGATTTTTTGTTTCCAAACACTTCGACATATTCAAGAATTTGGGTTCTGCTATTATAAATGGTTTATCATTTGCAGAATAATAGACATTTTCATTATCGAATACTGCCATTTTGACCGTATTTAGATTTGATATTATTAATAGTTGTTTCGTTTTTTTTATGATAAGGGCTTCTATTATGATTAAACTTTTTTTGGGGGTGGGGGGATAATTTCTACAGACACTAAATCCAAACGAGAAATCTCTTGTTCACATTAAGAAAAATACATCTAAAAAAATAATGTATCTTTCAATTTTTAATGCAACATATGGAAAGAATATTATATACACACGCACACACATATACTTACACACGCATACATGTAATTATTATTATTATTATTATTAATAATATTATTATGATTAATAATAATAATAATAATAATAATAATAATAATAATAGAAATCTCGAAAATGTGGCATATGGGAACATCAACAATCCCTGTTGTAGTTGGAGCCCTAGGACTGGTTGGAAAATATTGCAGTAGACTAATTGAAGGGATTCCTGGAAGTTCATGCCTCAAGGAGATACAAAAATTGTTCTGAGAAGTACAGCCACACTTTACGAAAGGGCTTTTATATGTAATAATTTTTTTTTTTTGTCAGTGGAAAGTGTCATGATGCCATTTCTAAACTTAGGTCTCTGGGCGGGACCTGGAAAGAAATGTGGAAACGCCAGAAATCAAAGATAATAATAATAATAATAATAATAATAATAATAATAATAATAATAATAATAATAATAATAAAGGAAAATGAAAAGGGGATTCGTTTCGATTTTTGAAGAATTTCAGCAAAACAAAAATAGAATTTTTTTTATTTTGAAAAACGATATTTCTACACACAAAATATATCGACGAGAGAAAAAAAAGTATGCATTCAAAGTTGATTTGGCGAATATTCTTAAATATTTAACACATCTATCGACGTTAAGGAATGGAAACGAAATTACGGGGGATAATAAGTGATGTAGATTTTTAACATGTTAAAAAGAATGTTTCATATTAATAATAACAATAATATTAATATTTTTTTTCTTTTGATTTCTGATGTATACCATATTTTTTCCTTTGATTTCTGTTGTATACCATATTTTTTCCTTTGATTTCTGTTGTTTACCATATTTTTCCATTGAATTTGAAAAACTTTCTAGAAAAATGTTTGTATACCATATATTTTCCATTGCTTTCTGTTGTATACCATATTTTTTCCTTTTGTAACATACCATATTTTTTTTGATTTGTTAATAATACCATATTTTTTTTGATTTCTTTGATATTTCAACAAACAAAATATTTTTTCCTTTGATTTCGATTGTATACCATATTTTTCCTTTGATTTCTGTTGTATACCATATTTTTTCCTTTGATTTTTTCTATTTGTATACCATATTTTTTCTTTTGATTTCTGTTGTATACCATATTTTTTCCTTTGATTTCTGTTGTATACCATATTTTTTCCTTTGATTTCTGTTGTATACCATATTTTTTCCTTTGATTTCTGTTGTATACCATATTTTTTCCTTTGATTTCTGTTGTATACCATATTTTTTCCTTTGATTTCTGTTGTATACTATATTTTTTCCTTTTGATTTTGTTGTATATATATTTTTCATTTCTGTTGTATACCATATTTTTTCCTTTGATTTCTGTTTATATATTTTTCCATTGCTTTTCTGTTGTATTTATATTTTCTGGTCAGAAATGGATGCATGACATTTTCCGTTGAACATTTTTTCTCAAAAAAAAATAGAAACCTAAGATTACATATATTTTACATAGATAAGGATTTTTTTAATGCCATATTTATGAGTACAATTCTTGCATTTCTTTAAGACATTGACTACCAGAAATCTCTACAATAAGTCTATTGGAACATTCTACAATACATCCGAGGGCACTAACTACAACTGGAATTATTGATCTCCTCATGTGCCACATTTTTGAAATTTCTATTTCAAGATTCTTGTGATCTAATGGTATTTTTGAAGATCTTTTTTGTTATTATTGTTGTTATTATTATTATTATTATTATTATTGCTTCTGTTCCTGATGTAGGTGTTAATGCTGAGAGTTGTTTACTTCAGTTTGTTTAAAACATGTGGCTCAAAAAAATTATAATTTCTTGTAAGAAAGGAGACTGACACACACACAAACACACACATGCACACCCATGCACACACATGCTAAATATATAGCCGAAAGCGCTCAGATAAAAAAAAAAACTATTGAACAGTTTTTTTATATAATTTATAATCCGAAAAGAAAAAAATATTAGATCACATGAGAAATATTATAAAAAACTAATTCAAAAGCACCTTGTCTGTCGTTTTCAATGAAATGTGCATGAAGGATTACTGCCCAAATACACAAACACACAGAGGTACACACACACACACAGAGGTACACACACGCACACACACACACACACACATATATATATATATATATATATATATATATATATATATATATATATATATATATAAATGTTTTAGAAAGTTTTTGATCTGACCTAAAATCAGACCAAATGCTCAAATATTATAAGTTTGTTTTAATTTTTGGGGGACGGACCAAGATCTCTATCTGCTTGTGTTTATCTATCTATCTATCTATCTATCTATCTATCTATCTATCTATCTATCTATCTATGCACATGTGTGTGCGCGTGTTTGTGATATAGTTTCTGTCAGATCCAAAGATTGAAAATGAGGATCATCTAAAGTTTTATTAATATCCTTTTTTTTTTTTTTTTTTTGGTTGTTCTTGTAGGGAATGTAATGTCCTCTAAATAAGGCGCCGTAATTATGGCCAATTCTGGAATAAGCAAATTAAGTGCGACAAAATGTTAAAGGAAACGAAGCAAAAATATTTCAAGAGTGAATTAATGTCATTCATAATTAATACCAACCTTGGTTATTTGACGAATGTAAAGTAAAAGAGAGGATTGTACGTAATTAGGGGGGGCGTGACCCAGCAGGAAGAATAAGGAAAAATGACGGGAGACAATTTTATATTGAGAAAGAAAGAAAGAAAGAAAGAAAGAAAGAAAGAAAGAAAGAAAGAAAGAAAATACAATAAAAAAAGGAAAGAAAAGTGAAGAAAGAAAATGCAAAGAAATGAAAAAAAATAATTAAAAGAGAACTAATCAAATATATGAGGAAAGAAAAGTTGGCTTTAAAAGTTTTGCAAGAAAAAAAGACAGCGGAGAATAAAGATATTGAGAGGAAAATTGAATTCGACAGAAAATAAGAGAAATAAATTGTAGAGGAAATGAAGAAAAGAGCTGGAAAGAGAGGTCAACAAAATGAAGTAAAGGAAATTGTTCAAAAGACGCAAGAAAACTGCTGCTAGTCGCGCGTGGAAGAGAGCGTAGAAGAAAAGACACACAAGGAAAAGATCTTGAGCAGACGATGTCCTATGCTTAGGAAATATATCCTTCGATCTGAATAGTTGGGATGTTGAATTGCAGACAAGGCGGAATAGATAGATAGATAGATAGATAGATAGATAGATAGATCATATCTGTCTATACAAGTCTATTCATATCTATCTATCTATCTATCTATCTATCTATCTATCTATCTACGTCTGATATATATCTATATCAGTCTTTCATTATCTATCTATCTATCTATCTACGTCAGATAGGTAGATATGAACAACTGTCGTAGATAACGAACAGACTGGGATAGATAAATAGCTAGCTAGATAGATAGATATGAACAGACTGGGATAGATAGATAGATAGATAGATAGATAGATGATAGATGAATAGATATATATATATATATATATATATATATATATATATATATATATATATATATATATATATGTATATATGGAGGAGAAGGATATATTTATATCCATATGGACTGAAAAAAGAGGGAGGGAAGATGGCGACGAAAAGAAACAATATGTATTGACAAAAAGAGGGTATATATATATATATATATATATATATATATGTATATATATATATATATATATATATATATATATATATATATATATATAGTATGTATACGCACACACAGAGAGGAAGCGATAGAGAATGACATAGAAAAAGAAGGATATATCAATATACATAGAAAGAGATATATAGATAGAAATAGAAAGGGAGAGATAAGAATATATATATATATATATAAGAGAGAGAGAAACAGAGGGATAGACTGATAGATAAAGGGAGGAGGATATTGAGAGAGAGAGAGAGAGAGAGAGATGGGAGGAGTGATGGACGGCGAATTGCAATTATGTCATGACAAAATGTTCATAAAGGTTAGAAAACTGTAAATATAATGTTAAATAAGAGAGGACAAAGGAAGAGAAAAATTCAAAAATGAAGACAAAGAACTAAAAACAAGGAAAGATGGAGGAAAAAATCAGTAAAGAAAAAAAATGTAAAATGTCAAGAAGGAAGGTCAATAGAAGAATGTAAAGAAAGAATTTTTCACAAAGAAAGAGAATGAAAAAATGGAGAAAGAACACGGACTTTGAAGACAGGTAATAAATTCAGAAGAGAGATTCGAATTAATGTAACTACGTATATAGACAAAAAGCTTTATATGAAATTAAATAAATATGAAGGAGCTAAGATCTGTTTGCCGTATGAGGGTCATGAAAAGAAAGACAAACAAAAAAACTACAACAACAAAAAGAAAAAAAAAAAACAACGAAAGTAGCGATAAAAGAGAGATGAAAAGAAAGAAAGATTTGGAATCCAGAGAAAGAGAGAAAAATAAAGAAAACAAAAAAGAAAAAGACAAGAGAAAGAAAATGCTGAAAATGAAAATAAAAAAAGAAAAAGGAAAAAATAAATAAATCAAATTAAAAATATATATATATAAATACACAGTAAACAAAGAAAAAAGAATGAAAAAAAAATGAATGAAAAAAGAAATGTCTGAATGAATGCAGGCCAAAAAAAAAGCAGATGGGAATAATTGAATAATTAATGCAATAGAAAAGGAAACCTAACAGATATAAAAAGAAAAAGTGAAAGATAAAATGAAAGAAAGAATGAATGAAGGAATATGTAGAAGGAAATACTTATATCGGAAACAGAGAGGGAAAGAAAGCAAAAAAGAAAACTCTAGTCAATAGTGAAAGTGAAACTAAAACAGATAGGTATTATATGAATCAAACATGAAAAAAAGGAAGAAAGAAAGGAAAAAAGAAAGAAAAAAAAGAAAGAAAGAAAGTAGGAAAGAAAACACTGAATGATACAAACAAATAGTAAGAAAAAGTTAATGTGGAGGAATAGAAACAGAAGTCTTAATTAGCGATAAAAATCTGAAAAAGAAAAATTTTTCCATGATTAGCCAGTCTGTAAATGGCGACTGTATAATGAAGAAACTGTTCGTAGGAAAATCATTCGACTTGGTGTTGATCTTGACTGAAAGCAATCATAATCATCCATTCAGAAAATTTTAATATCATTTTATCTATACAAATATCTTGACACGGGAAAATATTATAGGCAACTAACATGATATATAGAGACAGACAGTAAATGATGCGTCATGTGAAGATAGATATATAGATATACATGAATAGACTGAGATAGATATATAAGAAATCAAATATATAATCAGACTACGCAATTATATATATATATATATATATATATATATAGTTGATTATATATTTCCGATTTCTATATTCGAACACCAATTATATATATATATATATATATATATATATATATATATAATTATCGTATTTTATAAAGCTTCAATCGTATATATATATATATATATATATATATATATATATATATATAATTGCCATCAACTTTATATTTCCGATTTAGATACTGATGAAATAACAGATGTTTTATTTTTTGATGAAATATAGAGTATCTAACCACTGCATCTAATATATATATATGTGTGTGTGTGTGTGAGTGGGTGTGTATGTGTTTCTCAACCCACACAGAGACATATATATATATATATATATATATATATATATTAATTGGGATAAAATACTGATCAAATATGGATCGGAATCCAATAGATTAGGACACATGTTTATAAATCTAACATATTTTGCTTTCAGTAAAACTTCATAAAAGAATGAGACATGTAAACATTTCTCGGTTGGCGTTTTTTTTTTATTTAAATTGGTTAAACTGACTTTGCCTACATATCACGCAGAATCCGTGTGTATATATGTGTGTGCATATATATATATATATATATATATATATATATATATATTGACATCCACAGAGAGACAGTTTCGCTGTATCACAGCTCATCAGTGTGGCTAGACATCCAATTGCGTCTAGCTAGAATCGAAACCCGGCTGAATCGGCGTCAATCGGAGAATCTACCCCTTGGCGCCCGATAAGGATGATTGTCAATTTAAGCGTATTTACTTTTAGACAAACACGACAGTGACTGAGAGAACTCGATTCGTTTAATAGAAGAGTATTGCATTATTAGCAGTAGTAGTAACTGTTTACAAATTCACACTTTCTTCCCCGATATATATATATATATATATATATGTATATGTGTGTGTGTTCAAATTATGCACACACGTATGTATGTATTAGCAGAATGAGAGTGAAATACATTGCAGATCCTGATTTCAATATATATATATATATATATATATATATATATATATATATATATATATATATATATATATTCAGAGGAATTCAGAGCAGCATGGATCCATCCAGCTCTTATCTCAAATAACAACTTAAAAGTGACTGTTTGATCAACACAAGGAATGTTAAAAATTCATGTTAAAAGATTAAAAAAGAACAAATAAAAACTACACTACTTCCTGTAGTTTACTGCTACCAGCAAGCAGAAATATTTCTTCTCCTGATGATGGCCATTTTGGCCGAAACTAGTCGAGGAATCTAAATGAAATAATAATAAAAAAAAACGAAAGAATATTAATCTACAACCCAGTGTGTCTGAAGATTTTAATTGTTTAATTTTCTAATATTTTATTATTCAATATATATATATATATATATATATATATATATATATATATATATATATATATATGTCATCACTGATTGTCATCCACTGATGACTACCATTTAAATATATGCTACATCGTATACTCTCTGAGTAATTAATGCTTTTATTTTATGATTTTGTGTTCCATGTAGGTGGTTTCCTTGGGTTTAGCTTGTTATCTGGCTTTTCAGACTGGCTAACGACTAGCACACTTATTGACACGTTAAAAATGAAGGCAAATTAGCAAAAGCCAATTCCTCTCAATACAAAGGGAGCTGCGAAAGAGGAAGCAAACAAGAAAGAAACAGACACCTACTTAAGTAAACATCAACGTTGCCAAATGTCTCTACCAATACGAAACTCGAAAATGGATACCCAAAGACATGGCCGTAACATTGACAATAATCAACAAAGATAACCATCACTACAACGACCTTTACGATATATATATATATATATATATATATATATATATATATATATATATATATATATATATATATATGATCGAAATAAAATATGAAATTTAATATTACAAGACGTATTAAACAATAAAAAATAATTAAAAAAAAACAACACAACAACGAGGTGGGGAAGCAACCGGTTTCGCTCCCGCTCTTCAGGCTTCCACGGGAGATTCAAAATTAAAACAGATAATTGTACAATAAGGAATAGGTGAAAAAAAAAATATATATATTTATATATATGCAAGAAGGAACTAGAGACAGATGACAGCGAACCACAGCAAACACTGACGTTGTTTGCACAAAGAAGGCTTGCGGGACGCAATGTAAAGTGCCTCCAGAACCTTTAGATGAAATAAAGAGTACGACCGGGCCAACACGGTGAACCAGTCAACACCAAATTTGGCTGCATTTAGCCCCCCTCGTTGTTGTGTTGTTGTTTTTTATTATTTTTTATTGTTTAATATGTCTTGTAATATTAAATTTTATACTTTTATTTCGATCATTAAATTTTGTACCTACAAAAATATCTTTAATATATATATATATATATATATATATATATATATATATATATATATATAAGCAGCAATTCCTCTTTTATACATGTTTGTTTAAAGACGACTGACAAGACACTGCGATTAAGTTTTTTTTATTTATTTTCTTGTGTTAGTACGAGTGCTTTCTATTCTGGATATAAAATGTGTGAAAACTATTCAAATGTTCTGAAATTCGGCTATATTTTTAGTCATGATTAGTAATAGCTTCACCGATGTAATTATTTATGAGTTTGGATTGTGTTTCTAATCAAATAAAACTCATAAATAATTACATCGGTCTCATTACTATATGCCTATGTAGATGACTTACGTAATACCTATCCGACCACAACTCCATCAGGACTCATTTAGACACACATACAAAAAAGACACCTCCCGAATCATACTAATAGAAATTACAAGCATAATATCTGATCCACGTGTAAAAAATGGTTAACAATAATGAACGCCTTAAAAGTATCTATAAAGAACTGCACAAATTTTTTTTTTTTTTTTTGAAGAGGATTAAATTTAAGAAACGCTCATAAATATTCATCAAGTTAACTGAAAATCTGAATTATGGAGGACGCTAAATGACATAATTTTATGTCTAATAAATGAAAGTCAATAAAAGATATTCTTGAAAATTTTAAGCAAATTAATTATATTAAATTATTTATTTTGGGATTATTTTATGTGTTTTATATTTTAAATAACATCTGCTTTCGAATTAAACCATTTTCGTTAATTTTATTAACATTTTTATAGTTGGCTTGGGATAGAAGTAGTTCTTTCGGGGAAAAGGACATATTTGAAAAAATCGAGGGCGTAGACTTATATTTTGATAAGATTCGATAGTAACACTCTCTATTTTCTGTTTATATATATATATATATATATATATATATATATATATATATATATATATAGTGAACACTATTTACAGTATTCAGACTATTGTCCTCATCTTTGTCGCATTATTTCTTACAACGTTTCGGCCGTTGTAAGCTCCGGCCTTCTTCAGGTGGTTTGAATGTGGAACCGAACCCTTTATTCCCACCACCGAATAGTCTGAATAATGTAAATAGTGTAATAAACGAAACATTCATTGTACCGAAACGTTGTAATAAATATGGCAACAAAGATGAGGACAATAGTCCGAATAATATAAATAGTGTACATAATACCTCATCACAGAAATATAGACAGATACTGAAAGGCCGAAACGTTGTAATAAATATGCTGACATAGATGAGAACAATAGTCGGAATAATGTAAATAGTGTACATAATACCTCATCACAGAAATATAGACAGATACTGAAAGGCCGAAACGTTGTAATAAATATGGCGACAAAGATGAGAATAATAGTCTGAATGATGTAAATAGTAATCAGGAGGAGAGCAGGTAGTAATTGACATTGCAGTTAAATTTTTGAAGATTAAAGTTGGAAATCATGGAGCCGGAAAAGAGTTTCACAAGTGAGAAGTGCGTGAAAAGAAACTATAAACCTAGAACTTACGGTTACATCTAACGAGCTGAAATGTAAATTGATGAGATCTCAACGCCATTCTAATACTGCATTAAAAACTGAAAACGTTTACTTACCATCGCGAAGAGATCATCCGAACAATTACCATGAAAGTATTTACCTAATACATTATTTAAAGACGCAAAGAGGCACCCTCACAGCGGTAGGAAAGTGACTGAAGCCAAGCCGCCAGATCAGGACCAATAATATTGCTGATTCTTTTTTGGCTTTTATCAAGGAGCTCAGGGTAAATAGTAGGGGTGCCAGACCATATGTGGCAGGAATATTTTAAGCATGGACGAATTGTAGACTTATGTAAGATAGATTCTGGAGAGAAAAATTGTCTCGCCAGTGAACCGACTTTCTTAACAGCTGACCTAGCAATGGATTCAATGTATTCTTCGCACTTCATGTCAACTGAGAATTTTAACCTCAGAAGACGCAACGTGCCACTTTCTGGGGGATAGCATCAGCCATAGTGATGGAAAGCATCAAGGGGTCTCTCAAATGATTAATGGTTAGATTAATGGTTTTGGAGGCGTTAAAATTAACAAACCATCTTTTGCCCCAGTTGACGTCGGACTTGAGGTTTTTTGGACATCGGCTGCCATTTTGACCTTCTCGAACTGATCAGCTTTACTATCGAGGCAGGAGTAAATGGTTGTGTCATCAGCGTAGATACTAAGTTGGAA